TGTATATCTATATTTCCTCTGAAACATAGTAGGTGTTCAACCAGTAGTGATCTATCAAAATCATTATTTAACAATTTACAATTTTTTATAGTTGAAGGATAGTTGGGCATACAGTGTTATTTGTGTTAGTGTCAGGTGCACAGCCTAGTGATTTGACAAGTTTGTACATTACTCACTGCTCACCACAACAAGTGTTGTCACCATCTGTCACCATACAGTGTTATTGGAAGATTATTGGCTATATTCTCCATGCTGTACTTTTCTTTTTTTTTTTTTTTAATTTTTTTTTTCAATGTTTATTTATTTTTGGGACAGAGAGAGACAGCGCATGAACGGGGGAGGGGCAGAGAGAGAGGGAGACACAGAATCGGAAACAGGCTCCAGGCTCTGAGCCATCAGCCCAGAGCCCGACACAGGGCTCGAACTCACGGACCGCGAGATCGTGACCTGGCTGAAGTCGGACGCTTAACCGACTGCGCCACCCAGGCGCCCCTACATGCTGTACTTTTCACCTTCACGACTTACTTATCAAAATCATTTTCATCATTTTTCTTACACTTCTCAGCATATTCGCTGGACAGTGTTTCAAATGTTTGCTCTAATGATGGTGAAATTACCTGAGTTTTGTTTAGTGTTACGTTTACTTGAGTTTATATGCTTATAAAAGATACCTTATAGACAAAAGTGTATATAAAAGTTGGACTTTTAATAATAATAATAATAATAAGTAATAATAATAATATACTATTAATATAATTATAACTTAATAATAACGGTAGTAATAATAAGAAGCAGCAGCAGTAACACTGTCTTTCCAGTGAGAGCTGTGAAGCCTCTATGTAATTATCCCCAAACCCTCCCTCTCCCTCAGTGATCCCATCTTGCTCTTTAGGGTTTTACCATATTTGTTCCTAAAAAATACATGCTTTGACTTTTTATGCTTTTGAACTGTTTATAAACAGGATTATAGTGTGTGCCTGCTGCACATGTGTGTACATATGGTGTGCTTTTCCGTCTCAACATTATGTTTTAAGATTCATCCATGTTGGTGGATAGACCTACAGCATGCCGTTTTTCACTGCAGTGGGGAACTCCATTGTGTGAAATAAATATACATATCTGTTGATCTTGCCATTAATGGATGTTCAGGGTAGTTTGCAGGTTTTATTTGATTTGTTTTACTTTTTGCTTTTTTGAATGTGACTGCTAGTAACGTCTCCTGCTAGGTCGAACTACGTGAAATAGACATTTTTATAAATTGGAATGGTGCAGATTTAGAAATTTCATGTGAGCCAACCAAATCCCTACCTCTTGGTGCACGTTTGCAAGATTATATCTGAGGCATACACCCAGGTGTGGCAGAAATGCTAGTTCATAGGGTACATGCATCGTCAGCTTTGAAAATGATAATTGTGTCACAAAGCAATCGGGTCACTGATACGCGCTATGTGAAAGCCGCCATTGTCCCTCCTCCTGTCAACACTTGATAAAGGCTGTTTATTTTGGTGGGTGTGAAATGTGGTTTTGATGTGCAATTCTGTAATTACAGGTGAAATTAAGCGTCTTTTCATCTCTCGTATTCTGTTATTTCTATGTAAACGTGTGCAAGCGGCTTTGGAAGTGGCTCATGGGTGAAGGTGGAGGCGTCCTGAGTCACATGCTAGAAAAAGCCGAGGTTGCCTTGAGGACTGTTGGTGGAAATATGGATAGTAAAGGTGATGATGCTGAGGGCTCGGGAAGAAGAGAGGTACCTTCTGAGAGAATACGGGTATCATTGTGAATAGAAAGGTGGTCAAAATGTGAATGTTTAAAGTACTTCTGTTGAGGGCTCAGGCAGAAATGAGGAACATGTTATTGGAAGTGAAGGAATTGGATCCTTGTATAAAGCGGCCGAGAATTTGGCCAAGTTGTGTTCTAGTGTTCTGTGGAAGGTGGAACTTGTCAGTGATGAACTTGGGTATTTAGCTGAGGAGACGTCTAAGCAAAGTGTTGAAGCGTGGCCTGGTCTGGCCTTGCTGCTTCTAGTAAAGTGCAAGAGTAGAGAGATGAATTGAAGAAGAGATTGTTAAGCAGAAGGAACCAGGATGTTAAGATTTGTAAAGTTCTCAGTCTATCCATATTGCAAAACATGAGAAAGTGTGTCTGGGGAGAACATCAAGGGTGTGGCTGGACAGCCACTTGCTACACAGATTATGAGGACAACTCAGGGATCGAATCAGCCATTTCAGCAGAAGCCAGGAATAGAGCTTTGGTTACCCAGGAGAGAGCTGTAGAGGACCCTCTTGTTTGATGGTTTGGCCTTCTGTGTATTGCATGGGAAGCCAACAGAGTTTTTGAGAATTCATATCAGCGGAAGCACTGCCAATTCAGACTAAACAGAGACAGGATGAAATGAAAGCAGCCTGGTGGTCCTCTGAGATTCTGCGGGATGTGGCCAATAGAGCTATCTGGCTTCACGCGTTGTGTTATCCTTCAAGAAAGGGGAAGAATGATCCCGAAGGCAATTCGGAGGTCCCTGGAGCTGGACTGCCACCATGGCCTGTGGGGTGGGACTCCTCCTGTGGTAGGGCCACCTCCTCAGTTTCAGCAGGGCAAGCTGCTGTGGCTACAGGGCCAGGGGAGTGGGATAGCCACCCTGGTGGGCTCAGAAGGGAGGGCCACTTGGGGGCACAGAGGAAGGGACTTATTCTTGAGGCTTAAAATCTAATGAAATTTGCTCTGCTCTCAGATATGCTTGAGACCCAAGACCCCTTTCCTCTTTTCAGTTTCTCCCATCAAGATTGGGAATGTCAATCCAATGCCTCTCCTGTGTCTTCCATTTTGGAACAGGTAACTTGCCAGATTTCACAGGTTCACAGCTGGAAAAGAATTTTACCTCAGGATGAATCATTGCTCACGACTTGCCTGTACCTAAATTAGATAATATTTAAAGGAGACTTTGTACTTAGAGTTGATGCTGGAATGGGCTAAGACTTTTGTGGCTGTTTGGATGGGCTGAATATATTTTGCATGTGAGAAGCCCATAAATTTGGGGAACCAAAGGGTAGAGGGTGTGGGCCAAGCTGTCACCCCAAAACTCATATGTTGAAGTCTTAACCCCAGTGCCTCAAATTATGACTGTATTTGGAGATAGGACATTTAAAGAGGCAGTTAGGTTAAAATGAGGCTATTAGGGTGGACCATAATCCAATATGTCTAGTGTCCTTACAAGAAGAAATTTAGACATTGATACATATGGAGAGAATACCTTGTGAAAACACAGGGGGAAGATGGCCATCTGCAAGCTAGGGAGAGAGGCTTTAGAAGAACCCAACCCTGTCGACCCCTTGATCTCAGACTTCTAGCTTCCAGAACCAGAAATTTTTTCTGGTGTTCAAGCCACCTAGTCTATGGTACTCTGTTATAGCAGCTTTGGCAAACTAATACACCTGCCTGTATGTCAATACTACTCTGTCTTAATTAATGTAGCTTTATAATAAAGGCATTCCACAATGAGTAGAGGTAGTGAGAGTGGATGTTTGAGCCTTGTTCTTGACCTTTAGGGAGAGCATTTGGTCTTTTGTGATTGAGTATGATGTTCATTTTAGTTTAGGTTTTCTTTCTTTCCCTTTCTCTCTCTCTCTCTCTCTCTCTCTTTCTCTCTCTTCCTTTCTTTCTTTCTCTCTCCCTTTCTTCTTCTTCTTCTTCTTCTTCTCTCTCTCTCTCTCTCTCTCCCCCCCTTCCTTCCTTCCTTCCTTCCTTCCTTCCTTCCTTCCTTCCTTCCTTCCTTCCATCAATGCCCTGTCCTATATATAATGGAGGAAATTTCCTTGTAGTCTAAGTTTGCAGAGGGCTCCTGTCACGAATGGGCATTGAACCGATCATATGATTTTTCCATTTTATTCTGTTAATGTGGTGAATTACACTGGTTGATTTTGAATGTTGAACCAACCTGGAACTGTTTAGATAAAACCCACTTGGTCTATATATATAATCATCTTTTTGAAATCTTGCTGCATTGGTTCTGCTAATACTCTACGGAGGATGGTTGCATTCAGGTTTATGCTGGTCTTCAGTTCTAGGCAGTTTTCTGGAATTACGTGTTTGATTTTATAAATGGATACAGCTCTTCATTAAAAATGATTTTTAAAAATATTGCTTCCTGTAATTTCTAGGTATGCACTGCTGGGAGGTGCTCCTTTGAAATAGCATCTTTTCTACCACTGAGAAAATGGCTAAATAAGATTATTTTACTGTATTTTTTCCTTTTGCAGAAGAGAGTTTATTGGTTTCTAGTTTATATTTTAGAGCCATATGATTAAAAGTTCAGGGGATAGGGGCGCCTGGGGGGCTCAGTCAGTTAAGCCTCTGACTTCAGCTCAGGTCATTATCTTGTGGTCTGTGAGTTCGAGCCCCACGTCGGGCTCTGTGCTGACAGCTCAGAGCCTGGAGCCTGCTTCGGATTCTGTGTCTCCTTCTCTCTCTGCCCCTCTGCCTCTCATTCTCTCTCTCTCTCAAAAATAAATAAACATTAGAAGTTTATTCCCCTGAAAAAGTTCAGGGGATATAGTGTACATAGGATATTTTAAAAAGTATTATAATTTATTTTATCTTGGAATTATAGATAATACTTGGAATTTAAAACTTCAAGTCACAAAAATTTAGAAGTTTTGGATCCAGTCTTTGGCATTTAGTGGCCAGGGCCACTAGCTCTCTTGTATGCTTGCTTCATTGCATCGAAAAAAGTAATTTATGTCTTTTTCTCTAATTTAAGGGTTGGGTGGGATGAATGAGACTGGCAGATGACCTTCTCCCTTTCTCTGTGGCCTGACATCGTCTGTAAATGTTTGCTGAATGTGAGAGCAGAGCAAGGCACCATCTTAGATGAAACTGTATTAATTTCATGTTAATAAAAAAATGGGTTGATTTTGGTCCCTGGAGCGCATTCCTCTTGCCCTCAATTTGTGGTCTCTCCTTGATTTCTCAGGTCTTGTGTTATCGCCTGTGTTGGGTATTAAATCATGGGGAGGAAGCTGGACCTGTCTGGTCTGACCGACGACGAAACGGAGCATGTCCTCCAGGTGGTTCAACGAGACTTCAATCTTCGCAAAAAAGAGGAAGAACGGCTAAGGTGAGATGCTTCTGTTGCCCTCCTGGGTAGCACGGGACAGCTTTCCTGAGAATGTTCCTCTCCGCTAGCCCTGAGTTCGAAGTCTTTATGTCATGTGCACACACTTCTGTGTATAGGAAGACTGCCCTGTCCTTCACAGAAAGGTTCACCAGCTTCAATGCTGGGCACCATAGTGCCCGTTCAGAAACATGCCTCCCCATCAAGGTTTTCCTTGGGCTTCTCACCCTGCACAGTTTTAGCTGCAGGAAAAGTATACCTTGTGATGACAGTGGCTATTTGGAGCTTGCAACTTGGCTTTAATTTTCCTGTTGGCAGGTAGTAATCTTCCTGTTGCTGAAGAATAAAGTGTTAGGTGAACAGTTCTTGGAAGAATTAGACTCACAGAGTCTGTACAATCTCCTGTTAGAATACTCAACTCCCATGGTGCAGAAAAAGAGTTCCAAAGACCTGGTATAAGGAAAGTGCCATCTGGCTGGGCTGGGGTCACCTGGCCTAGCACCACCTTCCTCACTTTATAGAGGAGGATACTGAGGCCCAGAGAGGGGCTCTTCCAACGCTCTAGTTGGCATTTCCTCGTGGAATATTCTGAGAAATACAGTTGCTGCTCATTTGGGTAGAAATGACTAAATTTGGAAGAGGTCAGAGTGATCAAAATGAGGTCATATGTTGGGTCTAGTGTGTTGGAACTAGATAGTAAGTCATCATTACCTGCCCTCGTCCATCCGTCTGTTTTCCCTTGGAATCTGATGGGTTTATCATGGCACTGTCTTCTTCCTTAGCCACCGAGCTCAAAACCCCTTTGTAATTCCTCCCCTGACTTGGTCCCCACACAGGGCTGGACCAGGCACTGCTGAATCTGCCTCCTCACCATCTGTCCCCGACTTTTCCCCAAGTCCAGCTTTTATCACTGTCATCCTGGGAACTGTCATAATCTTTATGGCCTTCTGCCTCCACTCCTCCAAATAGCCAGGGCTGTGCGACATCTGAGCCCCAACCATGTCCTTTCCTAATCAGCTTAAAATGTGGGCTTTTTTTCCTTTTCTCTTGGGGTACGTCAGACTTTCCAGTTCTTTACATATTACCTCCCTGACTAGATTATAAGCACTCTGGTATAATCATGTCTATTTCTATCATGGTTTTTTTTCTCTGTCATATTATATATGGTTAATATGTGCTTGTTTGAAGGAAGACAAAAAAAAAAAAAAAAAAAAAAAACACCTGTTAATTAAATAATTAATTGATTTACAAACCATGTGCCAGGCACTGTTCAAGCTGCTGGGAACATGGTGAGCAAACCTAGTCTTTGTCCCATGGAGTTTATATTCTAGAGCTGAGCTGATGCACACTGCAGCCACCAACCATGGGTGCCTACTGAGCACTTGAAATGTGATGAGCCTGAGTTGGGATGTGCTGTAAGTGCGACATACACACCACATTTCAAATTTAGTGCCCAACAATGTGTCCTGCCTTAGTAATAATTTTGTATTGACTTCATTTTTGAAATGCCCTTGTTATACGAGATATACGAGGGGAAAGAAAAAAACATTAAATGTAATTTTCGCGGTTTCTTTTTACTTTCTCTAGTATGGCTACTCGAAAATTCAAAATTCTGTATATGTCTCATGCCATATTTCTGTTGGATGGCACTGCTCTAGAGGGAGGAGAGACAGGGGAGATGAACAAATAAAAATGTGTTTAGATACGTTCAGTAGCGGTGAGAGCCATGAAGAAAGATAAAGCAGGGAAAGGGGCAGAGACTGGAGGAGGGTGGCAGGTGCTGTTTTTCCGTGGGCTGCTCAGGGAAGACCTCTCTGGGGACGTTGGGGACATTTGGGCAGGGATCTGAAGGGAGGGAGGGAGCTCTGCAGCTACCTGGGGCGACATTAGGTGCAGCAGAGGGACCTACAGATGTCAAGTTTCTGACTTAAGGACATGCCTTGTATGTTTCCCCGAGGAGCTAGGAGGGAGTGAGCCAAAGAAACATAGTACAGAATGAAATCTCAGCAACAGCCTGAGCTCAAACCACGTAGTAAGCAGAGAATCTGTGGTAAAGCCCTGAATCTCACTCTAGGTGGAGGAATCACAGAGTTTTTAGCACAGGAGACATGGTGGCCTGACATCTGCTTTATAGGGTCACTGTAGCTGCTCGGTGGGGGTTGGGGGGGAGGCATCACAGAAAGGCGGGACTAGCAGCGGAGGAACTGATAGGAGGCAGCGGTCCAGGTGAAAGGTCGGGCTGTCTCAGAGCAGGGGAGGTGCAGCGGGTGGTGAGTGGTGGTCAGATCCTGGATATGTGTCAGAGGTTGAGCCAACAGTGAATACTGCTGCATTTCCTTATTGAGATATGCAGTGTAAGAGGGCACAGAGTCAGGGAAGACCGTGAGGTTTGTGTCTTGGGTGACTGAGAAAATGAAGTTGCCTTTCACCGAGTGGAGAAGACAGAAAAGCAGAGAGATGTCAAGTCGGCAATTCTGTACTTGCATCTGACGTTCAGGTGGGAAATCCAAGCCAGAGATAAACACTTTGTAATAGAAATGGCCACCAAAGGGCAGCAGAGTAGGCAGAGCCTGGAAGTACAGTATAATGCCAGTCAACACTAAGACTATTGGGGATTTGTGGCCACTCATTTCCACGGAGCCCAGTTTCAGCACGGTAGTGCGTTTGCGCTGCGTTATCCAGCTTTTCTCCTCAACAGGACCACCAACAAGAATCATGTCTAACTCAGTTTTGTGCCTCGAGCTCTGGGCACTGGGCCTGGCACATAGTAGGCATGCCCTAAATATCTGTGGAACAGATGGATGAGTGTAGATGGGCTGTCAATCTGTATGGCCATCTTTATGTGTGCCTTGAAGAAGCAGTCTTCCTATTTTCTAGGAGTCATAAAGACCAGCTGTGTATCGTGCCTCATCTCCTGCAGACTCAGGTATGGGTAAACCAAGAGTGTGTTCAGTGTCTTCTGACTGTGGATACTTGTCTTAGCTTCACTGGAGTCATGTGCTGGACTGTGTAGAAGAGTTGCTTCATGGTTTGGTTTGGGGAGAATTATTTTTAAAGGCAGTTCAGTTGCCATTACAGTGGTTTGCCAAGGTGGGCGCCATCTTTCTTTGAGGACTCTTGGCCTTTGGCCAGTAGTCAGTGACTCTGCTGCAGTTCCGTACAAATGCACACTCGTGGGAACCTGCATGTGTTAGGAAAGAATGATACTTGAAGCCATCAGTGCCTCAAGAGGAGTGACGCAGCACCTCTTCTGTCCCTGGGAGTGGATGATTTTCCTCTGAAGACAGCCGTCACTATTGTCCTTCTACCCAAAGCCCAGTCAACATGCCTCGGTGAATGCTGACCAAACTCTGAATGATTTGGCCTAGGACCTTATTATTGGGTAAGAAGAGGTTGAGACATCACCACCTCAAAACCACCGAGATCATCAAAACACTTGCCTCACCTTTTCGGCATTGCTTGGATTTAGGGTGCATGGGAGAATCTAGGGAGCTGTGTTATAGCTGGCGTTTTTGAATTCTTTAATATTTGCTTAAATGACCACAGGACTCAGAATGGAGGATTTTTATTTTAAAGTTTTAAATTGAATTACGTGTCTTTCCTCCTGATCAGCTGTTTTTTTATTTACCTGGCTTCTCTGGTGAGCTTTGGTGGGGGTAGGATTGGGTTTAGAAGTTATGCAGTGTTTCTGATGATCTTCAGCGTGGACATAAAGTGTGGCAAATAAATAGGTGGTGGAAGCGTGAATTAAGTGGCCTCAGAACAGAAGGGGAGCTAGTGGGACTGAAGAATCCAGCACCATTAGGTCATGGAAGTGAATTCACGAAAAGAGAACGAGAAGGTGCAAAGCAGTCACTGTGAACTGGCGCTGCCCTGGGTACTCTGTGAAGTCATCTTACTGCTTCCTCCCAGGAGTCTCTATAAGGTGGATCTCCACGTTACACGGAGGCACCCAAGCACAGAGAGGTTGCAAAGCTTGCTCAGAGTAGCACGGCCCGTTGGGGACAGAGCCAGGATTTTGTTTCCCAAATTTCTCTCAGTTATATATACTAGGCGAAGCCTTTTCAAAACTGTCTCCCTTCTTTCCTTCCATCCTCCCTCCCTCCTTCCTAGCCCTTCTTCCTTCCCTCCCTTCTTCTCTCCTTCTTCTCTACCCCTCCCCTCCCTTCCCCTTTCTTTATTTCCCTTTCCTTCCCTTTCTTTCCTCTGTCTTTCTTGTGGTTAGGATCGTGTTTAACCAAAAGATAGCCCGAGGTGGTGAAGAGAGTCTGGTTTTAGAGTTTCAAAGTATGAGTTTGGGTCTTAGCTTGAGCCCCAACCCTTAGAAGTACACTTACTCCTTCGGTTTAAATTGAACCTCTAAAAAAAGGGGACTAAAGGCACTTGCCCTATCTATTCCATTATGTTGTTGTAGATACTGAAATAAGTGATGCATTTAAAAGTGCTTTATGGGGGCGCCTGAGTGGCTCAGTTGGTCGGCTCAGGTCATGATCTCATGGTTTGTGAGTTTGAGCCCCACATCTGGCTCCTCAGTGCCAGTGGAGAACCTGCTTGGGATTCTCTCTCTCTCTCTGCCTCTCTGCCCCTCCCCTGCTCATGCGCTCGCTCGCTCGCTCTCTCAAAATAAATAAACTTTAAAAAAGTGCTTATGAGTTGTTAAAGATATATATGTAGATCATAGTAACTGACATAGATAGTAGGAGAACATTGACCAGTAGTGGAAGCACCATGACTTGGGGAAGCCTTTCAAGATGGCGAGCCAGGACAAAATCCTCACTAACTGGAGTGACAGGCAGGTAGGATGGATAGTCTGTGCCTCAAGCCAATCTCTCTGTCCTGAGTTCAGGCCTACAGAGTACACTCTGGAGAACACATGGCTAACACATGGCTTCCAGATGGCCCTCCCGGGACATCCCACAAGTACCTCCGTCTGCTGTGCCCAAACGGCACACTCTCCCAAGGTGGCAGGGGATGGGGAGTGACAGACACTGGCCTGACTTTGT